CGCTCTTCTGCATGACAGTAGGAAAAAAAAATCCAAAATTTTAGATGGTTCTGATAGTGTTCTCACTGGCAGTCCCTTGGAGATTACTAATGCCTTGGCTAAGTTTGATTTCTAAATGAAGTCATAAGAGAAATGGGTCCTTAGTGCAGTGAGTCTGTGGCAGGCTTGCGTAACAGCAATGTGATTTGAATTTGGGGACTCAGCCCAAAACTGGAACGTGTCGGGTTGCTGTATGAACCGTTGCTGTATGCCTCTAAGCAGTACTGCCAGCACTCTGTTTGTCAATACCATATTAAGGCAGACTGTTGGGAAAGTTCAGGCTCCAGAAAACATGGAGTGGATTTTCTTGGTTCACAGAGCCTCTCTCTTGGTGCCTCACCAATCGAGCGTCCTCGGCTGATGCATACACATGCAGCTGAGGTGATGATGATCTGTTGCACTTGCAAGCTTCCCCAAAGGTAATCTTCTCAGTGTTTTCCACTGATCCAGCACCTGTTGCCTTAGTGGTACGATGTATTGTAGTATTCTTACAGTAAACTATACGTAATACTTCAGAAAGTTCACACCCTTCTGAAGAACATTTTCTACCCGGAAGAGTTCACACCTCGCTCTTCTGTAAAATCTCGTTCATAATGTCTTGTAATTGTTTTTAGTGGGCGCTCACATGTCATTTGCAGCCCTTTAGGGGTTTAATTTGTAACATTAGGTAGGAAAAGTGTGAATTAAAGCCACTGAACTTTGCCTCTGTGCAATAGATTAGGAGGTTTGAGCTGGCTCCTAGCTTTGTGAAATACCTGAACATTAAGATCTTTCAAGAGTTACTACTGTGTATGTGTTCTGATTTGTAATTAATTTATGTAACTGTACTTAACTGTGACATGTAATATTTAAAGTACCAACATGAACTGTTGTCAAAAAGGACTAATAAACAGAATAAATGCTGATCTTGGAATGATCTTCCAGTGCAATGGAATAGTGGACTGGGGGGGTTGACCCTGGATTGCCCTTTGCTTGCTCTTCACCCCTGACCCCAGTGGGATGGGAGAGAGAATGGGAAGAGCAAAAGTGAGAAAACTCACAGGTCGAGGTAAAGATGGTTTAATAAATGAAGGAAAGAGAAAGAAAAAAACCCAAGGTATGTGATGCAAAGGTAACTACTCATGGCCTCCCACAAGCAGGCCGGCAGCAATGGCTGTCCCCACCCCAGAAAAAACCCCAGAACCGCCTCTCCTCAGCTTTTATTGCTGAGCATGATGTTATATGGCATGGAATACCCCTGCAGATCAGTTTGTATCCGGTGCGTGGGTTGTGTCCCTTCCCAGTCCTTTGCCCACAGGAGGGGCAGAGCAGGGAAAAGAGCAGCCTGGATGCTGTGCAAGCGCCACTCAGCAACCGCCAGAACGCTGCTGTCCTGCTGCCACCGCTTTAGTCACAAACCCCAATGTGGCACCTCATGGGCTGCTCTGAAGAAAATGATCTCCATCCCAGCCAGACCCAGTACATTGTCAAACGTACGCAGAAGCACAAAGCTCAACTTCTACAGCTTGCATTTGAGAAGGGTCCCACTAATGACAGTAAGACTGGTAAGGTAAGAATCAGGATATAATCTAGCTTCCAAACTTCTGCTGATGAGCAAGATGGGGAATTCAACTTGTCTCCGACAGCAGCAGCTCAAACAACAAAGCATTAAACAGAGCCACATTAATTATTGAGATGAATGCTCAGTATCTCATTAGTGTTCTTCAGCATAGAACTGCGTTCCATTTTCCTTCTGTATTGACAAGCGTTCTTGGACTCAGCAGATAATTTTTTTAATTAGGTAAAGAAATACTTTCTGAAGAGCCTATCCTAATGCTTTGAATATGTTTCAGAATTACTGGCTGGCCCCTGGAAGAGGCAGTGGGCAGACGCCATTAACTATGTCACCCTCTTCTACAGCAGCATTACAGCATCATTTTAAAACTTCCAAAATCATCTGTAGAACTTTCCAACGAGCAAGGATCAATAAAGTACTCTTGGAGAGTCAACTCGGCAGCTCTTGCTCTCCAAGAGCCTGGAGAAGCAAAGGGAAGTTGCTTAGCCACTGCCCATGGCTCCGTTGTTGTTTGATCCAGTATTAGCAATCCTGAGAAAAGCTGCTTTTTTGACTACAAAGTTTAGGAAAGACAAAGCTTTATTTGTACTCTTTTGCCCAATTGTTTTACATAAACTCCCAACCTAATGCGAACCCAGAGAATGACACTTATGCTGAAGTACTTACTGCCCCTTCTGAAAGAATGAAACAGTACACATACAATGCTGTTAAACATAGAATTTAAAAATAGTTTGTGTTTTGACTAAGGACAGCATTTTCAATGTGATTAAATTGGTAATAGCTCGTCAAGCTATTCTGAAGTCTTCTTAAGTGTGAGTTGTAAATAAGAGCATAAAAATGGGGGCAAACCAGTGAAAATCATATTTGAAATTTGACAAACTTGGAAACAAGAAAATGCTGTGTAAAAACTCACTTGCTGTCATTTCAAACTGATGTACAACATTCATTGAAGTGCTGAAGGTGCTTTCAGTGTCTGACAAAACACAGTTAATCCCTATACAACATACAGTCCAACACAGATGCAGAATTCACAGGCTTCAAGTGGAAGAAGAGGAAAGAGCACTGAGGAAGCTTGCCACAAAGAAGTGAAGTTTAGGAGAGATTTGAAGAGCTGAAAGTTACTCTGACCTTTTGGAAGGTCAGAGTTTACTTATTACAAATAATCTTTAATACTAAAAAACTTCACACGCTACAATTTTTGAAAAAATAATTTAATAAATTCTGCTCCATTTACTCTAATGGGAGCCTGTTGCAAAAAAAGTTGCCTATTGAAAAGTTTAAATTCCTGTTTCATCTGTAGATGCTAATCTAATCTCCACATAACAGAAGAGAAAGCAGAATTTTGTAAAACTTGTAAATAAGTAGCTAAATTGAGTCATGTGCATTAGATACGACGCATTTGTGACCACACAGGCTTCAGGAGTAATTTTTTTTTATTCTGGAGTGTTCCAGTGGACAAGCTGACCAACTGTATTATCTATTTTTTACACTTCGTTTGAAATACTGGCTGTTACTGGAAGTGGGAGCCTGGGTTTGTCAACCTGTATGGTTGATACCCACTTTGGCAGGTTGGTGTGTATAATCATTGCACGGGCACGTAGACGTTTCAGTTGCTCTTTAGAGAATGCTCATCTAAAGCTGGCAGGTAGGAAATTTGGCCCTATAATTGTTTAAAAAAAATCCATCCCTCTCTAAGCTTTTTTTATAATAATCCTTGGTTTTATTCAAAATACCACAATAGGGCAAGCTTCTTTTAGTTGGTTACAAAGTTGGTAAGACCATTTCATTAAGACTTACTCTGCTTCTGTCTGTTTTGATCAGAGATGTGCTTAAAGCCCTTGTAGATGTACTCAAGTGCTATTTAAACCAACCAGCAGCAGGAGAGAGTGCAGCAGAGGCCATGTAAGCATCTATTGCTAGCTACTTACATGGCAGTGTAAGCCTAGATTCCTGACATATAACTAATTGAGTCAGTCTTAATTAAGGACTAGCAAGTTTGCATGAGCTGGACTTGCATCTTAGGGTGCTCAGGCTACACACTGCCTCAACTGTGTGTCTTTTAACGTATTATTTGTACAATGTCTAGTAATGTATTATTCTTCCTGATATTACCATCCTGTTAGTCAGCTGGTGACACTAGAACCACCTGATACTGCTTCCTGCGAGCGATGAACTAATGCTACACCAGAACTGACTGGATTTCAGAATTGTGAATTAAACAAACTGCATTCCATAGCTGTATTATAAAAAGCTTGATTCATTTGAAATTAAAATGTATATCCAGGCTTTATCTAACAGGAGCTGAGATCCACTGAGGTGTGCTCACATCATTTTGGCAAGAAATGCTTTTCCAAAAAACAAAGCATGTTAAACGTGTTAAGATCACAAATCATGATGTGTCTTGTTTGCAGCTGCAAGACATAGATTTGTTTCGGAAGAAGGAGTGGATTTGAAAACTAATGGAACACACACCAGCAGTGCCTGGTGCAGCACATATAGCCCAGTTTCCAGCCTGGTAAAATTATGTGGTGATTAAACTTCACCCTTTGTTTCCCCCTCCATGCTCTACCTGCATCTGGCTCCCCTATCTCCCAGATATTCTTATTTCAGCACATTTGTT